AGCCACTTCTCTAGAAAAATCTACTTCACTATCCGATGACAGATAGGAGTAATCACTAGCTCCTTTGAGAGCGATGGTCTTCAATTTTGGTGATGGCACCTCAACTTCCCGTGAGGGCACTTCCTCCTTCTCCTTTCCCTTGAGCTTCTTCTCATGGAACTTGAGCTTTCTGATGAGGCCATCGAGGGGTAAAGTGGTAAGGTCATGAGCTTCTTCTATCGCCGTCGCCTTGGGTTCCCACATCAGAGTCAATGAACGAAGAATCTTGTAGTTCATCTCTTGAATAGTCAATTTCTTGTCAAGACCATGCAATTCATTGATAATGTTAGTGAAGCGAGAAAACATAGCATCAATTGATTCATTTGGAAGCATTTGAAATAACTCATATTCATGCATAAGTCCACTAATCTTGGATTCCTTAACTTGGGGGGTTCCTTTGTGTGTAATACACAATTTTACCCATATTTCGTATACGGTTGCACACGTGGAAACCCTATTATACTCATTTGGGGAAAGACCACAAATTAAGGCATTCATAGCCTTAGCATTGAGATTGGCTTGGTGCCTTTCTCCATCGGTCATGTTCCCGACTTTGGACTTCTCTACATATTTCTTTTCTATGAGCTCTAGGATGTCAAGATCAATGCAACGAAGGTAAATTCTCATCCTAGCCTTCCAATAAGAAAAATTACTCCCGGTGAAGAGTGGTGGTCTAGTGGTGGATTGTCCTTCTAACATATGCACATTCATTGAAGCCTCCATAAGATCTTTTCTCTAAGGTGATTAAACCAAAAACTAATATAGAGACCAAGCTCTGATACCAATTGTTGGACCCTAGAGGGGGGTGATTAGGGTCAAGATGCTATAATTATGCAATAAAATTAAAACAAGCAAACCAAAATATTCTAATGCAATCAAAATAGAGGAGATAGGGTTAGGAATCGTTATCCTGTGACGCGCGATGTGTTAACGAGGTTCGGTCCGCTGTCCTACGTTCCCGTTCCCCACTCTCGAGGAGAAATCAACTACACAACCCGGTTTGGAAGCCGGAACTTCGTCTACACAGCGATCCCCTCACGATCTCACACTAGACACTACACAACCCGGTTTGGAAGCCGGAACTTCGTCTACACAGCGATCCCCTCACGATCTCACACTAGACAGTTGATCTCACTAGATCACACTCCCTCACAATTGATCTACACAAGATCACACTCTCAAGATAGTAGAAATGGTGTAAGACTCTCTCTTTACAACGTCCCTATGGCAAAGAGAAAGAGCACACTGAAGCTGGGAAGTGAAACACCCAAAAACTCAGAAAGAACAGGTTTAAAAATTTTGCTCAGTAAAAACAACATCTCTGGTTTTTGCAAAAGCTGGGACATTTAGGAAGAAGAAGAAGATGAGTTTAAATAGGTGAAAACCAGCTGTCTAAACTCAAAACCTAATCCCCTAAAATCTAGAGCACAGTCTGTAAACAATCGGAAAGAGATTGTGTGCAGACGGCGCAGAAATCGAAAACAAAGAGCCGTTTGAAAACACTTGGCGGTCGACCGACGAAATTTGCGGTCGACCGCGATCCAGATCCGAAACTGAGAAAACAAGCAGAGACTTCTTCGGTCGACCGGTGTGGTCGACCGATGAAAATTTCGAGCTCTCGGTCGACCGCGGCGGTCGACTGACAAACTCTCTGCTGCCCACTGACGAATGAACACAGGTGCAGTCGATCGGTGCGGTCGACCGCATTCTGATACATTCTAAAAAACTGATTTTGACACACTTTAACAATTTGTAAAATATTCATTTGACTTCTGAAAATTATAAAACTTTGTAAAATGTTTTTAATACTAAAAACAAATTGTTTAGAAAAGGAATTTTACAAATAGGTCCTCATACTTGTAAGAAATAGTATTTTATGAAAAACGCTTAAAAACATAAGTATGAAAACGTGTGTGTGATATCCCAATAGCTTCAAGTAAAATCAATAACTCTTTGCCTACATTCTAGCACTAGAGAGAAAAATAAAGACTAGCTAATATCCTCATATAGAATGCAATTCTTGAGTCTTGATATAGCTTGAGTTGGATGAAGCTTCTATTTGAATTTGTTGTTCTTGAAATAACGTTGCTTCGTCACTATGCCTCCTCCTCCTTTGGATATCATCGTTATAGCGCATATTCCATCTAATCCTTCATTAATGGCACTAACATGCTTGATATATGAATTCACTACATTTGCACTTAATAAGCAATTAGTACCGATAATGGTGGTTGTAAAACATCATCAAAACATAAGGGCTAACATGAGCCTTCTGGGTGAGAAGCATACCGTGTTGATCCCTGGTGACTTCTATCTTCTCAAAGAAATTCCAGACATCAGATCTCGGCCTTTTAGGATCTCTAGGTGAAGAATCATTACCACCGGATTTTTGATCAACATCTGTAGGAGTAACTGTAGCTCATATAGTAGGAGTATTAGGACTCATTTCAACATCGGGAGTTGGGATTTGCCCTTCATTATCAGAGAAAGTCATTTGATTGAAGTATTAGAGATCAAAAGCGAGAATAAGAAAGTATTAGAGAATAGTAGAGAGAAGTAGATGATTTCTGGATGAAAAAAAACAAATAAAAACTTCCTCTATTTATAGAGGTAGCCTCCTAGGTAAATGACCAAAATACCCTCAAATTTTGATCATTTTTTGACCGTTTTTGGGGTATTTTGGTCAAAAGGGTAAATATGGTCATTATGGCCCTTCGGACCGGGTCGGGCCTAGGTTGCCAGGCCAACGTCCATATTTGTGACCGTTGTGGCGGCCGGCCTAGTCGGCCCGGCCAAACTGTCACGTTTGACCCCCCCCCCCCCCCCCTCACGCTCGTTACCCTACCTAGCCCAGACGCCGGGCCGGGTCCAGTGCGGGCACCGGCAAAACGGTCCGAGCCTTGGGTCCAATTGGACAGCCCAAGATAAATCCCTCTCCTATCCTGATCTACTCGGTCGACAATTAAGGTCGCTAGATCTCTACTCTATCTGAGATTCTAAGCAGATGTAATTGTGATAAGAAATAGGCGCAAAACACAATTTATTGAAAAAATAAAGAAAGAAGAAGATAGATATGAGTCAAGCTAGATATTTACTTGATTTGGCAATGTTATACATCCACAGCCGAAAGCTATAGGTTAGTCACATTAGGAGGAAACAATACAAAACAATTAAAATTGAATTATTATCCGACCCAAACCCATAATTCTTTATACACTCACTTTCAACAAAATAATGTGCTTGGTAAGATTCATGCATTCAGCTATCTTCAACCAATTGAGTTGTCACTTCAAATGCAACTTATGGGCCATAGTCGGATAAAGTTATTTAAATTTTGTGAAAATTGCTTGGAGGAACCAAAGAAAGTTGGGCCAATCATCCTCACTCCTAGCCGAAGAACTATAACCCCCAAGCCCTAGAATTGAAAAATATGTGCAACCAACCCCCAAACCCACTGTCCAAGAAAATCACTTCTCAATTTACCCTTCTTCCCAATTTAAAACATGCTCAAACCGTAATTGTTTGGGGAGAAAATTGATTGATTCATTGCTATGTTCATTACAACTTCAAACGTTATAATGAAAACAAAAGTTAGTCTTTTTATAAGATCCTTACATAATGAAAACAAAAGAAAGTATAACTCTTGTCAAACAGCACAACGGGTGTTTATCGCCCGCTGCTTGCGTGGGATCTTAGCATGTGATGGGGACGTTGATATCCATGGACCACCAAACGATTAGATAAGATCCAGAGCTTCGTCGATTCGCGAAGGAATCAAGAAGCCGAAACAATTATCTCGTCAACGGCAAATTAATCACTCTTCTCGAGATCACCGCAACGGGGTAATCTCAAGGCAAAGGATCGGGACGTATAAATATGATGAGCTCATCTTCTTTATGCCGACGAACTCGATCTGATCCCCTCCTCTCTTCTGAAATTCGTGCTCCTTCAGTTTTCAGTTTAGCAGGGCTTCACCAACGCTCGAGAATTCCAGATCTAAAAAAATGAAGGCCCTAGGGCTGTATTTATAGGCTTCGGGAGCTCTGTTTTTAGATAAGAATGGTTGATTCACTCTTATCCTCAGTTGTAACCACTTAACCATGTTCTTGGGTGATATTTTATCAGTTGGAACAAATTCAGGTGGTTAACGGTCGAAAAACGGCTCAAAACAGCCAAAAACAGATTTTTAGGGCTGCGGACACTCGTGGGTGTCTCAGCCATGCTTTGGCCGAGACACCATTTGGTGTCTCGGCCAAGCTTTAGCCGAGACACCACTTGGTGTCTGGGCCAAACTTTGGCCTGAACTTGATTTCACGCGTTCCGTCTGTTTTCACCGTATCTTCATCGTCCAAACTCGGAATTATGTGGTTCAAAATGCGTCGGAAAGCTAACGAGGAGATCAATAAGCTCCCATGGTTGAATCATATGTGAAGTAGACAGGACATGAGGGGTGCTGCGTCTTTCGTAAGTGATGCGGAGCTCCCGGTCCATTCGTGCTTCCGTTATTCCGACGTTCCGTTGTTTTGCATGGTTTGTCGACTCACTTCATGCGCTTGCCATCGTCAAATTAGCTTATGTGACTTAAATAGTGATGTTCATCATCTTCTCTCTATTTCGAGCCACGTGCGGGGATGTATAGGAAATTTTTGACGCCTACAGCAATGTCC